ATATGAGCTGGCTGAGTGGACATCATCTTCATAGGCGAACCAACTTCCTCGCCCATCATATGATGGCGGTACTTTCGTGGTCACCTAGGAACCCCTAAGGAGAGTGAAGGTAGATGTATGTTTGAAGATTACACTGAGGACACATGTGCAATCAGCGACGACGGTACAGAAATTATTAGGTACCATCATTCTCCCAGGAAGGCCCTTTTCAATCCTTGGGACAGCAAGGACATCCCAGTAGAGACCTCAAACCTGAACACAAGTAGGAAAACTTACGGAGAAGAGCCAATCAATAGAGACTTCTTTGAGAATGACAAGCCGTGGATCGAAGATGAGCATGATCAGCCAGGAGCCCTTCAATGGACTAGCGTGGGCAGGACAAACAAGATTTGAGCTCATATATCCAGTAGAGACTAAAGGAAACAAGCAGAACAGGCCAGTGCCACAACCACTTGACACAGTCCCTGAAGGAACCTGAACAGGCCCAAGCACCTGAACACCGTCATGAACTTGCAGGAGAACTTTCTTTCACCCACAACGGGTACGAGTACAATCAGCAAAACAGCCTGAAGACTCCCAAAGGACTTTGCACAGAGGACATCCTCAGAAGGCTCAGTAGGACAGTCATGGAACTCAAAAACCAGCAGGAACTCAGTACAACTCAGCGAAGGTAGCTGAACCACTCAAGGACCAGAGGAGACCCAATCCTGAAGAAGTTGCTATTCACAACCTTACGCACCTGCCGTATGCTTCGTGGTGCCCTGTATGTGTTGCATGTAAAGGAAAAGAGTCCCGTCATCCTCGAGAAAACCCTGAGAAGGAACGATCATCGAGACCAACATTCTGTTTGGATTTCTGCTTTACAGGAACTAGCTATGATGAAGCAGCTGCAGCAGTTTGTCTTGTATGTATTGACTCGTGGAGTAGGAACACAGTCTGTGTCCCAACAGCAACCAAAGGAAGAGACCTCATTGAGCACATGGCAGAAGGAGTTACGTATATGAGCAATCAGCTTCAGTATGGAGCAATCAACTTGAAAGCCGATAACGAAGGAACTATGATGAAGCTGAAGCAGGTGATTCAGAAGCAAAGATCGTCATTAGGCCTAGGGCCTAGGAACAGTCTTGCAAGATGCAGTTTCAGGACAGAAGGAAACCAATGGCATGGCCGAGCGTGCAATTCAGACTATTCGTAGACAAGCTTTGACCCTTCTCAAAGGTGCAGAGAACGCAGGAATACTTGTTGCGCACACTCATCCTATCTTCAGTTGGGCATTTCGACATGCCAGCTGGACACTGAACAGGTATCATCGTCATTCAGGAACCGGCATGACTCCTTATGAGTGGATTGCTGGTAGACCCTTCCAGAGAACTTTGGCTGAGTTCGGTTTTAGTCAACAGGACAGGTGTTAAGCAAGGCAAGAAAGGAGATCCCTTGTGGTTGCGCGGAATGTTTCTAGGAAAGTCTGACAACGATCTGTACATCACTTGGCATATGGATGGAATTAAGACCAGTAGAAGCGCAAAGCGTTGCCCAGAACATTTTGATGCCAAAGCTATCAGCAGTGTAGGAATACACACTTGGGAAGTGAAATTTGCAACCCGAGTAGTACCAAGGAAGAACATCGCAGGACCAACGTCAGCGATTGCACCCCTTGCGAATGCGCAAGATCAGGACAAGCCTGGTGAAGAAACCAGCAACCCTACAGGACCACTTGTTCTCCAAGGCAGGGAATCTGGACCAAGGACGGCTGGACCTCGAAGGTCAACTTACTTAGGAACAAAAGCAAAGCAGCAACAAGCACTTCACAAGCAAAGAGCAGAACAGGAAACAGAAGAATTGCAACAGGAAACAGAACAGCAAGATGAAGCAGCAAGCGACCCAATGTCCTCAAGCCAAAGTAGCTCTAGCAAGCCCGAGCTAGGAACTATGGAAGATGGGGATTCTGAAGAGGAACTGTTGCCAGACAGCGCAATGGCCAGTGAGTTGCTTTCAGCTAGAGGACCTTCATCTTTAAGGAAAAAGCTGAGTTTGAAGATGTAGGAACTGGATCCAAAATCCCGAAGATTGATTCGCCAACTAAGAGGTATCCACATTTCAACATAGGAAGGATCTACGAGCACAATGACGAGGAACTTCCAGATCAAGGAAATGACATTTTCTGGGAAGACACGTATTCTGAAATTGGCTCAGATGGCGAACAGGAACTCTTCGATGGTGATCAGAAATTTTCAACAACGAAGATGCTGGGCCTCCAGATCTTTCGGAAGATGAGATCAGGAACTTGGACAGGGCCGCGATGTCACAGAGATGGAGCGCCCTACCGCAATGAAGGCCATGCAAAGGACCAGTTTGCAGGAACTTGAGAAAGAAGAGACAGGAGCAAAGAGAGAGAGAGAGAGAGAGAGAGAGCCCAATAAAACATTGGGTGGGCCTGGCGCCCGGGGGCATTGACCTGCCCCTATGCCCCGGAGAGAGAGAGAGAGAGAGAGAGAGAGCACAGGAACCAAATGGCTTACCACTAAATTTGTGTTCGATTGGCGTTTTAGGAACAAGAAGTGGATTAGACGAGCGAGACTTGTTGCAAGGGACTTTCGCACACAGGAACATCGTACGGATACTTTCAGTCCTGCTACAAGTGCTTCATTGGTTAGGTTGATACCAGTGCTAGGAATGCAGCAGGAACACAGTATGTATTCGGTAGATGTGAAGGATGCTTTCTTACAAGTACCTCAAAAGACTAAGTGCGCTTGCGAGTTTCCCGAGGAACACATCGAGCTGTTTGGTGATGAAGATCCTAGGAAGAAGAAGAGGAGAACGTTGGCCAGTACGACGACAGGAAGTTTTTCGACCGTGTGGAGCAGGACGCCTACGACCAGGAACTCTTTGAAGAGACTGACAACGAGTACTACACCGAAAGCTATACAGGACCAGAAGAAGGAGATGATCCACAGGAGGAAAAGGAAGAGAAGAAGGAAAAGCAGAAGGACCGTGACGAGGACATCCAGAAAAGGATAAAGGAAGTCAACGAGGAGATCCGCGTGAAGGCAAAGGTTACCAAGGAAAAGGAAAGGAACTTCGTGTACCCGACGGACATGAGCCACGAGTGCAAGTACTACACAGAAGGAGGCCATGTGCGGAGAGAGTCATTCTCCACATGAACAAAGGAATGGTACGACTAGAAAGGAAAAGGCAAGAACAAGTACAACAGGAAAGGAAAAGGAGAAAGGAAGAAAGGTTTTACGCCCAAGGACGAAGACGACGCCGAGTACTGGAACCGTGTGGGAAAGCAAAGCGGCAAAGGAAGAAGAGGAAAAGAGAAGGAGGATTGCTCGAGAGAAGTTGGAGAAGGAAGCAGGAAGCAGGAGGAAGCAGAAGCAGAAGAAGGAAGAAGCAGCAGCAGCAGAACAGAAGAGGAGAAAGGAAGAAGCCGCAGCAGCAGAGCAGAAGAGGAGCAAGGAAGCAGCAGGAACAAGCCCAGCAAAGGAAAAGGAAGACAGACTGAAGAAGCTCGAGAGCATGGTGGAGACCTGGTGCAGGAAAAGCAAAAGGACAGGGAGACAATCGCCAAGCTCAAGCAGGATATCCAAAGTTAAGCAGGAAGTGCAAAGGAAGGAAGCGCAAAAGGAAAAGGAGATGAGGAGCAGGAAACGGACCCGGAGGTGAATAAGAAAGGACTTCACCAAAAAGAAGCCTACATCATAGAGCGCATGCCCTACAACCTCTACGCGATCTACAGTTTCGAAGGAACGACAGGCGCGGCCCGCCTCCATGTGGCAATGGCCGCAGCTAGCCGACCTTCACAAGGGGCTACGGACTGTGGTTTTTCACCAGGCTAGCTTTGGCCCGCTAAGATGTGCCAGCTTGCCGGGTGAATGACAAAGGAGAGAAGCTTCACAACTTCTACGGCGACTCCTTCGTCAAAGTCACTCCGTGGGATCGATCGACTTCCTGCGGAAGCCCGGAAGCTTCTGGGCGACGATTACAGTTGGGCCACGTGGTTGCAACATCCCGTGTCGGGCTACTCTGCGCATTTCACTCGATGCTACACGCGGGGCTACGTGTCCCCATGGGAGAACGACAAGATTCGTTTTCCTGGAGGTCTTGCAAAGCTTCTTCATGATCCTCAAGATGCAGAGACCCGGCGGGAGTTTCGGCCATTTGTTCAAGAGGTTGGCTTTCGTCCGCTGCGTATGACCCTCGCGATAAGAAGCCAAAGACCGACGATCCTGACTGTGCAGAGAAACTCGCGGCATATAATGCTCTCCACTTGGAGAGGGATATATACCGAGAGATTAGCTACGTCAGGGAGGACTTCTCCTACTTGCGCGGAATCATCTCCGAAGCCTATGGCAAGAACTTCTTCAACTACTTGGAGAAGAAAGCCACTGACTACGAGGTCCGCAAGAAGTGCGCGGTGAAGACGGAGGAGGGCTGCAATGAGCTCTATACGCGGACACAGGGGGCATTGTGGTCGAGGAGTTTCTTGAGAACTTCCAGTTCCAGTGGATACCTCAGAACCGTCTGGTGAACCCTCAGCGGTCTTACTAAGATGGCGGAACAGGACACCAGCGCACTACTGGAAACTCAAGGCATCTGGGGGAAAGTCAAGACCGTCGTGGATCCGGAGAAGTTCGCCGAAGCCGCCAGGACTGCCTCCTCCGCAGAGACAGAGAACGAGAAGGCGTTCGACAACCTGGAGGCTGAGAAGGAGAAGCAACCTCTGGCTGAGAAGGAGAAGCAACCTCTCCTCAAAACTCCCGAGTTTATTGCCTTCTGGCAAGGCAGACTCAACGGAACAGTGGAGGAGACCTCCTCGTCGGATGCCGTGCAAACAGGGTGGAGTCAAAGATGGTACAGTTGGCAGGCTCGACACTAGTCGGGCCATAATCTACTTTGTGCATACATGATCGTCGAGATCAAGTGCGGCAACACCTTGCCAGCTAATCAAGGTGGCGATCGGCGAGATTCTCCCGACCCCGCTTTTGCAGCTCCTTTGACGAGAGCCGGCAGAAACTCTGTCCGAGTCTGCGCCTTTCCATCTGGATAGCGGGTCGCTGGTGACAGGATCGGCCTCGCCCACGAAGCACTGGCCACGATGTTTACGCGCAGCCTGAGATTTCAGGTGGACCTCATCGGTGGGGACGCTAATATGGCTACCTACCGTGCATCGGGTCGGAAGTTGGACCCGGTCATCGCTTCTGTTCTCGAATGGGGACACTCAATGGACGACGACCAATGGAGCAACTGGACTTCTGCACCATCGCCTATTCCGGGAGAGATCAAGATCCACGTCTCTGAATGGGTCCTTATTTCGTCATCAGCTTACATGCTCAACGATCCGGACACCGATGCCCGCGCTCCACAACCCATCGAGGTTCATGCGAACCAATATTCGGGAAGTCAAGCTAAGGCCTTGAATCGGAATCCTGATGCGGTCAAAATGCGTCAGTTCGGAGGAAGGAGAGACAGAAGCTGAGGAAGGCAGCTGGGTCATCTACAGACCTCGCTACGGAGACAAGCTCACCACAGGGTGAGGCAGCCTCCGGTACTTCTAAGACTCTAAAGGTTCTCAACCACGTCCAGAACCAGCACATCCTCCGAAAAGAAAGCATGGCGGCAAGACCGGCGAGAAGGGAGGCAAGTCCTCCAAGGGCAAAGACACAGGCAAGGGCAAAGGACAGCACTGACTAGATTCTGACTCTGAGTCGGAACAAAGTTCAGCCTATGAACCTATTCGAGAACGTCGCCGTCCTCGATCACCTGTCGCGGGGTATCCTTTTGTTCGTCGATGCTCACAATTCCTCACATTCCACGGACGATGACATCGAGAATGTAAAATGACTAGGTTCCGATCCTGCGTCGGATTCTGCACCAGTTCACAACAGTCAACGTCCTTCTATGCTGATGCCGAGACATGTTTTTCGTCGCCCACAGATTGATGATGAGACTCGGGATCGATCTTGGCACAATGACATTCTTTACGTGGACTGAGCGCTGGAAGGAAAGCTTCTCACAGGAGAAGGTACCCTAGTGTAGTGCGATTTCAGATCTTAAGAAGGTGCCTTTCACTGGAACGGGAACTTCTTATGACCGTATTGCCAGAGACATATAATAGAGATACTTTTCACAGGAAAAGATACTCTAGTCGCCGAGCCGCAATTGCCATTGCTGGCAACAAGTGGAGCTTATCTCATTCAGTATGCTTTCCGAGTTTGAGTGAAGATCCAGTTGAGTTTGTTTCGTTTCGCTTGTTTTTCAGGAAGCTGTCTCCGGGAACTTTAATTTGTACAGGCAGAGTAGTTTGTATAGTTTGTAAAGTCGTCACAGTCGTAGCTCAATGTCATTCCGCTCAGAATTCATTCTTGGGCAACAACAGGCCAGTAGCATGCCGACTCCACGGCCATGCAGTTCTACGTGTTCTTAAATTTGTGCCTGGCTGAAACACTAGATATTACACATCCTGCATGTATCCATGCTTGTTGCTCAAGGTTCTAGCAGAGTACTGATCTACAGATGTGCGCCTGTAGTAAAAAAGACACCTGTGTTTGCCTGTGTTCCTGTACGCC